ACTTTTGCTTTTGCAATGTATTCACGTGCTCGAGTGTCATACCGTTAATTTCGTTTTGCCTTAGCATCCTGACTCTTGTAGCCAGCCATGCGCTTAGCGGGAAATTGGAATGCGTTAGCAGGTTTCTTATCCAGATATTGGAGATTATTGAAGCAGGTCTGATACATGACCTTCTCTGAAAGACCAGGTAGAGACACTCCATCTGCAAACACATCCAGATCGAAGCACTTAAATTGCTCTCGCTGAGCCTTGATATCGAAGCGCATAAATAGCCTCACTACGTCGAAATTATTGTACCAGATCAGTAGGACTTTGATCGATTTCATCTCGTAGTAATCCCACACGAATTTCACTCGTTCGTAGTCATCGCTGGTGATGCTAGTTTCACGGAGCTTGCTATCAAAAGCTGACATAGGCGGGATAGCCGTCTGGTTTAGTACATTGAACGCGGTGATGTACTCGTAAGGAAAATACCCCTACCATGACCACGGACACATCTAATTTTGTCATCGCATTTGCAGCCACCGAGATATGTTGTAAGATTCGTTTTGTAGCTGGTACCAGCTGGTACATAGTTAGTGATATCAATCATTTTCATGTCCGCTGTAGCAATGCACATGTAGCTGGGGGTTCTGATGACAGATTTTTGGTTGTCGATACCAATTACGGAGAACAAATCCTTCTTAATCAAGTTAATATCGTATCGACCAGAATTGAAGCCGAACAGGTACCTGGTCAAGCTGCTGTTTCAGTTTCCCATAATCAGACCTTTGTTTACTAAAACCAAGACTGATATGGAAGTGGAAGAAGTTATCATATCCTCCCTCCGTTAATCCAGCTCTCCACATCAGACATCTTGTACTTTTTATCAGAATTAGCACCTGGGACTTCCATACCTGTCAGATCATGTGCATTGATGTTTTTTTGCAGAAGCGACTTATACTTATCGACATTGTACTGTTGGATCTTCGCCGATACATCACCAATGTATTTGAACATATTCATAAGCAAAATCTTGGGGTCGTCATTTACAAAGCAACGCACCCCCTCGGTTAAACTATCAGCTACTAATACCGACACAGGAATGTGTTCGTTCGTTAAGACAGTATTATTCCCGTGTTGAGTCGCGGTAGGTTTAAGAATGGCCTCAAAGTCATTAACGCTGAAGTGATCGATGTAATGGTCAGCATCCTGGATGGAATACTTCGTAAGCAGCGGTCGTATCGTGTTCTAAGCCGGTTTGTATATAGTTGGCTTGGTGGGGAAGATCTCAATATTCACAAGCTCGCACTGGTTTTTCTGTGCGAGCTTGTGAATATTGAGATCTAATCGACTACGATTTTTAAGTCTTTCACCACTAACGAAAATCATTTCACACTGGGGCACTGATACTTAGTCTGAAGCATACCGGTGTTTTTGATGTAGAGAGTGTGATTCTCGTGTGATAGAATATCCATAGCTTCATACCTATTGTTCGACCTATGAATGCTTTCAACATTTTCGGTAGCTACATCCATGCTGTATACGTTAAAACCGAGTTGTAAGCAGGCCTCGACCTCATCGAGCTGTAGTAGGTCAATAGGCTTGAAGCTTCTAAATAGACTCAGCGTATACTTAATCCCCTTAAAAAAGCAGTAGCGCTTGAATGCATCCTTCACCTGAGCCTGTATGCTGCTGAGGATCCTTCTTGGTGCTCTGGAATTTGTGCTAGGCGATGCAGTGGAGAGCCGCACATGTTGTTAGTCTTGGGGAAGTTGATTGAA